CCACTATTTAATTGTTCTCACTGTCAGGAAATTTCTCCTCAGTTCTAAGTTGCTTCTCTCCTTGATTAGTTTCCACCCATTGCTTCTTGTCCTGCCCTCAGGTGCCCTGGAGAATAGCTTGACTCCCTCTTCTTTGTGGTATCCCCGGAGATATTGGAACATTGCTATCATGTCTCCCCTAGTCCTTCTTTCTATTAAACTAAACATACCCAGTTCTGCAAACATATGAAGAACGGTTGCAGGAACTGGGTATGTTTAGTTTAATAGAAAGAAGGACTAGGGGAGACATGACAGCAGTCATCCAGTATTTGAGGGACTGCCACAAAGAAGAGGGAGTCAAGCTATTCTCCAGGGCACCTGAGGGCAGGACAAGAAGCAATGGGTGGAAACTAATCAAGGAGAGAAGCAACTTAGAACTGAGGAGAAATTTCCTGACAGTGAGAACAATCAATCAGTGGAACAACTTGCCTCCAGAAGTTGTGAATGCCCCAACATCAGAAGTCTTTAAGAAGATGTTGGATAGCCATTTGTCTGAAATGGTATAGAGTTTCCAGCCTAGGCAGGGGGTTGGACTAGAAGACCTCCAAGGTCCCTTCCAACTCTGCTATTGTATTATTGTATCAATCTCCTATGCACAGAATTGAAAAAACAAGCGTACACCAACAGAGGACAATGTGATAAAAATATTTTGGAATGCACCGAATAAAATATGGATATAGATATGGATATAGTTATATAAGGTACGTATGTATTGATAAAGGTAACACAATGGACATGTAAAAGATGTAAAATGTGCTGCACAAACGATATGATTGTATAAATAAAATTTTTTAAAAAACTTTAAAAAAAAAGAACAAGCTGACCTGTGGTGAAATAAAAACCGATTGACGGTTAAGAGCAAATAATTTTTGGGCAGTGGTCCGAGAAAACACACAGACACCTTTATGCAGTCACGAGAAGTTGGGTTTAGCGTTTATCTTCCCCGTGAAAAGGTTTATTTAAAACAAAACAGGTTTAGCCTACTATACGAACCCGGTTTCCACCTTCCTCTTTATGCACCTGCATCGATTCGGGATTTGTTTTATTTAAACAGATGGCTACTCCTCCGAGGACATTGTCTACCACTGGTGTGAGAACCAAAAGGAAATTCACGGCTTGGATAAGCTGCAGCTTGCTCAGTTCACCATTATCAACTACAGATTCACTACGGAACTTATGAACTTCAAATCGGGTAAGTAAAATAATTGCCGTTACTTAAAGGCTGGGTAGTTATTGACTAGCGCTGTGGTGGCCAAACTACGCCATGCGCGCCCGAAGTGGCACACGGAGCCATGTCGCCTGGAATGTGCAGTGTCGCTGTTCCTCTTCCGGGTTTCTGGCACGCACGTGCGCACGACGATCAGCCTGCCTTCGTGCATGCAGCTGTGCTGGAAAGTGGAAGAACTGGCCTTCCATTTTCCGGCTGATCATCTTTGGGTGCATGCGTGCCAGTAAGCGGAACATTAGTTGGCCAGCATGCATGTGCAGTGCGCATGCTGGAAACTGGAAGTTCATTTTGCAGCACCCGCCATCCCCCCTGGGCAGCTCCTCTCCCGGGTTGCGGCCCAGCGCACGCTCCCTTTTTGGCGCTCGGTGTCGAATAGGTTCTCCGTCACTGGACTAGCATATTTACTAAGGAGACAGGAAACTAGCCGGGTTGAATAAGCCACTAGGCCCAACGCACCAGGATGCGTAAAATGGCATTTTAAAAGATAAGTCTCGGGCTTTAAAACACAGGACTCGTTCAGGATGCTAAGTAAGTTTTAATCGTGGTTTGCTCTTTATACGCCTAAACTCACACAACATAACACATAGCTAGGAGCAACAGTTCACAAAGTGTAAAACTGGAGCTTCACACTGGTAAGCAGAAGTCTATCTATGAGGCGGCTTGAGGAGGCCTAATTTTTTTTTCCCTATCATGGTTTGTAATCCACGGTTCATGGGTGCAAGTGTTGGTGAACCCCCACTGATGATAACCAACCATGATTTAGTGTGGCATGCGGGTTCTCTGTTTAAAAGTGAAGCATTAAACAAGAATAGAATAACAGAGTTGGAAGGGACCTTGGAGGTCTTCTAGTCTAACCCCCTGCTTAGGCAGGAAACCCTACACCACTTCAGACAAATGGATACCCAACCTTTTCTTAAAGACTTCCAATGTTGGGGCATTCACAACTTCTGGAGGCAAGTTCTGTTCCACTGATTAATTGTTCTCGCTGTCAGGAAATTTCTCCTCAGTTCTACATTGCTTCTCTCCTTCATTAGATTCCACCCATTGTTTTTTGCTCTGCCCTCAAGTGCTTTGGAAATTAGCTTGACTCCCTCTTCTTTGGGGCAGCCCGTGAGATATTGGAAGACTGCTATTATGTCTCCTCTAGTCCTTCTTTTCATTCAACTAGACATACCCAGTTCCTGCAACCGTTCTTCGTATATTTGAGCCTCCAGTCCCCTAATTCTCTTTGTTGCTCTTCTCTGCACTCTTTCCAGAGTCTCCGCATCTTCTTTACATTGTGGCAACAAAAACTGGAAGCCGTATTCCAAGTGTGGCCTTCCCAAGGCCTTATAAAGTGGTATCAACACTTCACGGGATCTTGATTCTATCCCTCTGT